TTTTTCTGTGAAGGAGCAATCGATTGCCAAATAGTGAGGGTAGGGACTGTTTCGGAGGAKGATACCGACTGTTTTTGTTGTTGTTATTCCTCTGTTCTTTCGGAGAAGGATTTTCGAGGATTCTGTTTCCGAAGTTTTGAAGGCACAGCTGGTTTAGTGAAAATCCCAAAGTTCCCGCCACCATGGAATTTTGTGAAATTGCATGCAATTTATACAGGATTCCAAATTCCAAAAATGGGGGGAAAATATGTAAGTTGAGCTGGCAGTCTGTGTCTTCTGTACCACTGAAAGTGATTCCCGAAAACATATCGGAAAATATGTTATCGGGAATCACCCAATGTATCATATTATGTACCATACGTATATTTTAAAGGTAAAAATAAAATTTACCACAAGGTACCGTATCGCATCGTACAAATCGTACATAACGGAAAAAAATAATACTGTACGGTACAATGCACGGTACGTACGAACCTTACGTGTGGTACGGTATTTTATGTTTTGTAATCTCTTCATATTCTCCGCACAACCCCGCCTGCCGGCTCACGTTTTCAGTAATGCAGCAATTTTTTGTTGCCAACAAAAATCATTTCTTGGTCCATTCTTTTTCTCTATGAGAGCCCCCGACAGCGTTGGAGTGACTTGCCGCAACCTGATACCAAGGAAAAGGGGAATCGATTGACGAAAGAACAGAAGATGCCTCTCCCGATTGCCATAGGAGGAGCTTCACTCTCATCGGAACAGCTCCGGAAAGCGTTCCGACCATCCAGTGGATCACCAGCAGTCGCAGCTTCGATCCGGGAAGATGGAGACGACAAAAATAGTGGACAGCCATATCAAAGTGTGTCCTGGGCCGTTTGTCCACAGAATGAATGGCAGGCAAGAACCGTGGTATCCTTTTACGATGACGACAACAGAAACAGAATACAGCGCCCGAGGTGGCGACGAAGAGATGAGCCACAACCAATAAAAAAGAAACGAATGGTAGAAATTCGGGTCCAAATTTCGCCCTTGACCAGTGCCTTTTCTTCGAAAGCTTTTAGAGAGACGAGATATCATTTGGAATTGCTTACCAACTTTGATGAAGAAGGCGATGGCGAAGATAAAGCTACGAATGGCGGTGAAGGGGTCTCGTCGTCCTCAAACCGTTCTTTGCTATCGGATTTAGATTCGTATACGGATTGTACGTCTCGATCAAAAAGTAGCAATAGAAGTCTAAGTCACCAGCACCAGACGCCACAAGTCGTGTTCTCGGCAGACAGGAAGCATCTGATGGTGCTGGTCTTTCACCCAGAATCTAGGAGGAAAAGGATACAGCAAAAGGGATTGCGCTCGCAATCTTCCCTAATTCTTTTCCAATTACGAGCCCCGAAAACCACTACAAATGATTCCAATGAAAGAAGCGCTATACCGCTTCCACCGTATATTGTGACGACCAAAAGTGAGCATAGTGACGATCTCAGCACGTCACCGTCCTCGCCATCAGGTGCAAGCACAAATGCGAAGTCTCCAGTCGTGGCTACCCACCCGAAATTTGTACCTTGTTGGGGCGTGACCACCGTTTGTCGTCTTGGAGGCGGCACCGATGATACTTTTTATCATGGAAGTACTGCGCAGGGAGAGGAGAACCAAAATAATGCAAATGCACAGCAGCAGCACCAACAACCGAACTCTTTGTCCACAACTATCTTTTTGGCAGTTCGAAGCGATGGGACTCTTCTTTGGGTTGACACACAATCTGTCCGAGTTACTGCCACAGCACGCTTGCCGTCAGCACTTTGCAACGATCTGGTTTTTGGATGCATCAAAGCGTCGCCTATATCGACACTCGAGAAGGGGATCCTGGCGTTGGTAGTCACTTCTTCGTCTTCACCACCACAGCATTCAACGACGTCGACCTCGACGTCATCACAATCTTCGGGCACTTCTTTGTCAGACAACGATGTCGAGGATGACGATATCTATGGATATGGTAACACTAGAACCAGTGAAGAAGATCATGACGAAGAGAAAATCCGTAGGGGAGATTGTGTCTTGGTGAAGTGGTCCCTTGTATCGGCAACACCGGTTCAGAAAACATTTTTAAGGCGTGCTAGTACAGGAAATGTTTCTTTTCAATCAGACTCGGACTGGGATCAACAAAACGAGAACAAACGATTCTCTCAAACAAAGCGATCTGAAGGACTGACTGACTCGTTGACGAAAACAAATGAGACCTTCGAAGACAATATGAATCCTTTGCAGCGAATGCTCGGGAATCTCAATAAACAACAGAATATTGCGGCTGCCATGGAAGAAAAAGAAGAACAACTTCGTCGCAAACAACACATGGATCAGTTCGTATTGCAACAATTAAAGAAGAAAGACGTCGGATTAAAAAGTGGGACGTTTTCATCGCCCTCCTCGTCATCACCATTTCTACATCGAAGGGGCGGGGAGAAGACGGCCCATCTGGTTAAGCCTCCACCTAGTCCCCGCTCTAGTAGATCGCTATTTTCAAGACGATCTAGTGGTACAACCGATAGTATGAATAGCGAATCAGGGTGTGACATGGCAATGCCAAACATTCAAAAAAGCATGCAAGTAAAAATACTTTCGGTTTGGTCACCGCCATCGTTATCAGCATCTGGTGCTAGAAATCAATACTCAGAAGAAAATAGCAAGGCAATTGTTGGTGATGTTTGTTTCGGTTCTATCCCATCCATCCTATGTGTAGTCTATCACGAGAGTCAATCAGCGCACAAATCGTCACCATTCTCTCCTGTGAAACGGGTTGGACAAATTTTGGCAATAGAGAAGAGGAGCAATGGCAATAGCTGTGAGCTGTTACCAGTTGTTTCACTCTATTTGTCCTCGGAACAGGTAGCAGAGGCACCAAGTGTGTCAAATTACAAGACTGACATTCTTTTAGATTGCATGTCAAGCTTGGATGAGAGCAGCTACACTGAAAGTATAGAAAAGAGTGAAATCTCTACTCCCGAAATTTTACCATCCCAAATGATTGGCATCGAACACGACCCCTTTACGGATTCGTTTGTGATCAATGCAATATTTAATGGTGACAAAAAAATGCATTGGGTTGGGTGTGCTTGGGATTGGAGATCAAATGCCATTGGATGGATGATTCAACAAGAGATTGCGTCGTTAAACTTAGGTAGAATCGGTAGCGACAATCAGGTTTGGGCGCGTTTGTACTGCGGGCGAGACCCATGCAATGGAGGAGGATCATATCTGATCTACATCAATTCGTCTCAGCGATATGATGTGAACTATGATGGCGTTGATCTTGATGCTAGTACTGTGTTTATTGTCAAAAATGAAAAAAGAACGATTCCTATGGCGATACTGTCTCCAACAAATTCGATGAACACAAGAATTTTTACTGAACGTTGCTCATTGCTTCTTGCCAAGGATCATATCTCATTTCCAAGCGTCTCGAGACAAGATTCTAATACAACCATGCGAAAGATAGGCTGGAAGATTTCTGCACTACCTCTGTCGTACGTTAAGTCCCATGGAGCGCCTCAAATCGCGGCAATCAGTCCCTCCACCGCTAAATCAATTGCTGTGGCCTCCGCATGTGGTGTTTGTGTCTTGGATACACAGAAAGGGAATGGAAACAAATGGAAACAATTTGGAACTCCAAGCGAAGAAGTTTTGTTTTCTACGATTGCCATGACATGGTGGGAGGGATCTCCAGATGGCGTATGGGATGATGAAAAAGATGACCTTCTCGTAGCAGTCACCGAAACCAAAAATGGGGAACAGTTTCTGTCATGCTGGTCGTCTAAACGGTAAGAAAAGAGGCCAATCAATGAATTTCAGTTCTTCGGTTTGTGATTATGACCCAATTTCTTTTTCACTTACAATATGTATCGTTTCGCAGTTTGGATCTCATGCATCAATTGTTGGATACGCCTGACCTTGAATGGAAACCGGGGGAATCGCAAGATCCCGAACCATCTTTTGGCATACCTCTACCAAAGGATATCAAAGTAACAAACATCTCACTTCTTCCCCAGCCTCAAAATGGATTGTCTCGGCGTAGTGGTGATCCACGAAAAGCTGTAGTTCTCGTTTACTCACCTGACCTAGAGATAGAATGTGAATTCCTTGTCTTAAGGCTACAGGTATTCCGAAACAAAGTCCCGAGTTCTCACGCGGTGGGTGAGTCATATGTAGCAAGGAGACCATTTTACGTCATGGCTCACACTGCCCTCAGGGCAAGTATGAAGCATGATAAACTGCCAGGATCAGTAACGTCTGCTTTTATTGCAGGTGCAAGCTTCAAATATGATTTGACAAAATCCGCAGAAAAGAAATCGAACTCAAATATCGGGGACAATGAACTTTTGGTCACGCTCGGATTGAATCGTACATCTGGAGGAATGTATGCATATTCTGCATTTGAACACGGCAATTTGCGCATCGCTTCGTTATCAAATTTGCAAGTGTCAAAATACCAGTTATCCGATATCGTTGTTTTCGGCGCCCCCTCTGATGTCGACTTAATGCCGGTGGTTAAATTCGTCTGGAACATTGAACTTTTGAATGGTGACCTTGTGTGCTGGTCCGTGCCATCATCTGTTGCTCCTAAACATGATCAAATTGATGATTATATGGCCGATTTATCCATTCAAAATGAAACAAATAATCAAAGAACACCTGGAGTGAAAGGGCCGAAAGGACTTCGTCCTCCTTTTTTCGTTTGTGATGAGAAATGCACAAACAAGAATGAACGTTTGGCCCTCGGCACCCTTTGTGAAGTCGGAAGTGTTTCCGATTGGGCCTTTCAATCATCATCTGGTTGTCAAACTGACATATCCCTTGGAGTTGTACCACAGTCGGGGTTTGGCTGTGTACTAAGATCTGGACAGAAATCCCAGAAATTTGCTAGAAGTCAAATAGGAGACATCGGTAGTGGTCTATTTTCTTCAAATCTACTCGATATGAATACATATTCTCAAAGTGTGTTTGTTATTACACCACCAGCATTTGTAATATCACTTTATGCCCTTCTTCTAGAAGCAGCATCAATCCGAATGGACTCCGGGCTGGAATCATTGATTGACAAAAAGAGACACCTCAAGGTACGAAATTAGCTCTCCACATATCCTTTGAACTATTCACTTTCCGAATGTACTAATCTATTTTCTGTGTTGCAAACATATTTGAGAAGGTGATAGAAGGGCAAGTTCAATCTAGATTGACATCAGAGGGAAACGCTGACATGTCGATGATGGCGCTGCGATTAATTATTTTTAGATCTTTGGAAATGATAACCAAGATGCATAGAAGATACACCAAAGATCCATCAAACTCAATGGAATTCAATCTCCTATTAAGTCAAAGTCTGCTGGCAGTAGTTGTGAACGCAGTCCGAGAGTGTACAACCAATCTTCGATTTGCGTCACTTCTCTTAGAAGTTGGCCGGCAAACGGAACCCGGTAACTTACAATTTCTTTTCCCTCTACCATTGCCAGATAAAAATATTGAATTGAAGCATATACCCAACAAATTCACAGCCAGATCTGCAATAGATCTTTTTACAATCTGCATGAACGAAGGTTCCCTAGCAGCATCCGCGTCAGCATTGCCGTTGTTAACCAGCAAAGACCAGGCACGTTATTATTGTGGATTGCTCTTGGACGAAGCAATCCATAACTTCATCCAAAACACGAAATCTACTGATTATAATTTCGATAAGACTGAAGAAGAGCGACGTGCGCTGGGTGATTTTTGTCGTTTTGGGATGAAGCTTGAAGATGCCGAATGTTTTGAAGAAAAGCTCGTCACCGAGAATCAGGAAAAGAGAACTGGTCGTGACAGCAACTCGGTCGATACAATGGATCGAAGTTCTTCAAACCAAAGTCTCATTCTAGAAACTCCTGAAATGGCGCAGCGCAATCTGATTTGCACCTTGAATGCAAGCAGCTCTATCCTCAATTATATCGTTCCCTCTACCATCAAAGGAGAAACCGAGAAACAAAGAGAAGAAGACGCTATTCGACGCGAGGCAACTACTTTTATTAGCAAAAGCTTAGACGATCCAGCACTCGATTTCGCAATGCTACCGAACTGGGATGAGAATTTTGATTCTCAACACTCCAATGGAGCCGAGATAACTAATATAGCCAGTTTGGTCGGAGATGCATTGCTTGGTTTGATACAAGAAGAACAGGCCGATAACAATTGGAAAGCAATATCTGCTATTTCAAAGATGATTTTGCAAGAAGGCGCAGATGTTTTGTATTCTTTCGACTTGTTTGTTGAAATGGCGAACAAATCGCAGCCGTTGGACATTCTGTCTATGATTCCGGAGTCATACGATGTTAATAATGGAATCGAAGAAAATTTGACAAAGTACATTGAAGAAGAAATCAACTCGAGTTCTGCGCAGATCAATGATCATGACGCAGAAACTGTCGTTGACTTGGCACTTCTACTTATTCAGCGGATACATACATTACCATTAGCTGACATTGCGGACCAAGCCTTGATGGAAGTTGGCCTTGTTATTATAGTGATGGTGGGTTGTGACATAATGGGGCGCTCAGCATTTATCCAAGATATGCTGGATCAAGATTGCATCTTGAATAAATGCTACAAAGATGCCACAACTGCAGGGAAAGAGACAGTACCTACTCATGCAGCTTGATCTTTTTGTTTCAGAACTGTTCACCATGCACGTGGGTCAAATAACAAGACAATCGCATTTAACGCAACTTTTAGAAAATGTGTACCCTTCATTGAACTTCGACTGAGACAGTTCTCAATAGTTTCTTTGGTACAAGAACCATTCATCCCAAAACTACTAAAGACGTGCCTCTGTCCAAGAAACAATGAATTTCCTGTTTCGCAGAAACATGTGAGGTTCACTTCTTTGCCTATGCAGTAGACAGGAAGTTGATTTGACCATTTTTCTTTCCGACGACCTGAAGATTTATGGAGAATGTTTGGGTCACATCTTGATACCGTGTTGTGACACACACTTTTCCATTCAGGAAATCAGCCAATTTTATTGTCTTCTCTTTGAATCTGCCGACTTGCCTTCTACTGCCTTGATAACATTCTTGTGTTGGTACGCTACGGTAAGCATCTTACTGACTAAAGAGAATCTTCAGGGTAAATGATGTTCACGGCGCTTCACATGAATGGAAACACATATGGCATTGCTATTCCGGATCGGCCTTGGATATACTTGAATTTCGGAATAAGTATGAAATCCTCAAGTATGAAATCCGTAAGTCGTGAACTCCTGTCACACGTCGATGACTTGCCATTCATGGACAAACGTCAAAGGGAATAAACTGGAGATCTATCACAGTTTCACTATCGAAATAAATTGATTAAAAGGGAGAAAAGACACTTCGGTTGATAGTAATTAAAAACTAGTAGGTATTTTCCTCAAGATTTTTTATGATGAGTTAGTGCGACGCGCTTGTGCAAATGAGTGCCAGTCTGTCAGTTGCTATATCTGAAGAAAGTAGCTACCTTGTCTAATTTTAGGGTTGCATTTTTTCCGATTTCGGTTTCATTTTGGAATGTATCGATTGAAAATTGTTGACTTGATCGAAATTGTTTTGTTGTATCTTGTGATTAATAGGACATAATGTTTTTCATATTAGCCAGGTAGAATAAAGTGGTGATGGTTGGATTAGTGTTGTGCTTGAGGTATATACGATGATATGGTGGTGACTTGAGTTTGCTTAGGCAAATGTTTCTTTGTTGCTACGTTGTTTTTGAAAAGGGTATGGATACTAGGACCACCAATGCCTTCGTAGGTAATGAAAACAAGAAGTAACTCCTTTCACTGAATACATTGCATCGGAAGAAGAAGTTTCATGCTGTCTTTGGTTGGTGAAAACCTTTTCGTCAATTACGGACAGTCGACGACAATTCGATCTTCCAAATTTGTTCGTAATCAACTTCTCTTCATTCCGTCCTTGAATCAAGATATTTATAAGACAAATAACGCAAACTCTGATCCACAAATCCAATTCAATCACCATAATACATTCTCAAGCAGATACAAACCGCATTGACGTTTATGCCGAAACAATATCGGCAAATGACCGTCCTTTCCCCCATGCGGGTGGCTGTACCGAGACAGCAGGTAGGTCGACAGAAATTGATTCCGAGGAAGGCACGTTCTTTGTGGAAAGCTTTACGTCCTTACTCTTCTTGTTGTCTTTCTTTTTCGAGCTCTCTTTGCCCTTGTCGACAGACTGCTGCTGCGAAACCACTTTGGTCTCCTTTTGCTTCACGCTTACCGGAGTGGGAGCTGCTGGTTTCAAAAGAGCAGCGGCGTATCCTCCGGAAACAACACCACTCGGAGGAGCCTCCGTGGGTGTCGACGCTGTACTTGTGGTTGCAGTCGAAGAGGAATCGGAAAATCCACTTGCGTTGCGTTCCTTCTCGCATCCTCGCATCATCTCGTGATCCGTGGGGACCTTTTCCACCTGGCATGGTTTGGAGTTCCCATCAGTCGAAAGAGGAAGAGAGGGGAAGTTGGATTCTCCCATGGATGGCGGCTTGCTCTGGATCTTCTTACTGTTGTTACCAGCAACCTTCACTCCAGCGGTCCCAGGGAATGGCGGTCTGCCCAACGAAGACTCGTCCTTTCCATTTCTCCGTTTCGACGTCCCAGACATGCTTTGTTGGTTGCTCTTCGGTTTGTTGTTGGTGTTTGTACCGGCGCTGCTGCTACTTCTTCCCTTGTTATTCGAAGATCGCTTCTTTCTGGAGTGGTTATTTCCATTGCTGTTGGAGTTTGCGGTCATATTTCCGTTGTTACTGAACTGGGGCGAAAACATGGTCGATATATTTGGGTTAAAAACGATGTTGTTGGGAGTGGGAGTGCTGCTGGAATTTGCCGAAGCGGAGGATTTGAGTCTTGCCTTGACAGAATCTCCGGACGGGTACTTCGTTGTACGAAGCTTCATCATGACGTTGAACATGTCATCTTTGGATTCAGTGTCAAGGGTGACGAACCTGTTCAATTTGAAACAATAGTATGGAAAATCGCAATGAAATGTTAGCCACAGATAAGAGATTGGTTCGTGAATGGGTATATTATCACAGTTCACAGCAGCCTAGGTACCAATTCACGTACCAGCAATTATGTAGATCTTCACGAACCGTTTCAACAGAAGGGCAACCCTCAAAGTTGAAAAGATCTCGCAGTGTCTTTTCCTCCATGTCTTCGGCAACATCCCGAAGGATAATGGTGTTCTGGACTCCAGCCGATGCCACCGTGGACGCTAGCTGGGAATTTGCGGTCGAAGAAGGAGAACTTCCAGTAGGACTTTCTTCATTCGAAACCTGTTTGGTTTTTTCTGTTGGTTGTATTTGCGACATAGGAATCGGCTGCTGCGAGATAGATCCCACTGCTACAATGATAGTAGTAGTTTCGGATTCGTCCTTCTTCTCTTCTTGTGAACTTTTAATTTTCTTCCCTACTTCGTCTAATTCCACAATTTCTAATAGATCGCTGTGGTCAGTAGCTGCCACAACAACGGCTTCCAAAGCGCTCTCGTAGGGAACCAAAGCTTGGACCTTGCCAAAGTTGGCAATGATCGAAACGGGAACATAAGAGTCGTTCAGATCACGGAGGGTTGATAGATAAGTGTCTCTCGATAAATTGGCTGCAGAAAAGTAATACTCAAGCTGTCGCGCTAGCATTGTCAGCGTCAATATCCGTTGCTCTCGTTCTTCAGGGGTTTCTTCGTGCGTTTTGGTTGCTGCCTCCTCCGTGACATCTTCGATGGGAGAAGGAGGAACGACAACGGTTGCCATTACGGTAGTGGTTGCGTCGATAGTGGTGATGTTGGGGGACGACATAATTGAGGTTTAGATTTCAAAATGATTCAACGATAGGTGGCGAAGCGTGATTTTGTTGCAATATCCAAGACAGTCCGGAACCCGAGTTGAATAAAGTTGTGGTGAGGATTGAGCAAATGAGATCCCGCGAGAAAGATGACGGAACAAATAGATTGATCGGAGCCTTTAAAACAATGCAAGTGTTTCAACTGTTCGATACGATGGAACAATGTGTGGTGAGAGTGTTCCTTGAAGACAGAAAGTAATACGCAATGCAGTGTATGATGCAGAGAAGCTCGGTCTGTGTTAAAGAAGCTAGGCGACGATTATCTCAATCGGTGGTGAGAATAACATCAGACTGAGCTTAGGCCGTTCAGACTGACTTTCCTCGTAATCCTACTACTGTAATCCTAGTACTCAGCACGAGTACGAGGACCTGGACTTTCGTACTGACCTGCCATACAGCGTTGTTGTACCAGTATCATGGCCGTGCATGAAGGGAGAAAATTCCTGCGCTGTCCACAAAATCACGGTGAACTGCAAAATTCAATGGTTCTCGGATTTGTTGGAAATATTTCATTATTGAGGATGTGGTTCACGCGATCCTGCACACGTCGTACGTGTCTTTTTGAGAAAATCATCAGTTCAAGTGTGTTAAACTTCTTTCACGTGGAGAAAAATATATTTGGGGGTATTTCGTCCCCAAATCAGGCTGCACCAACTGGTGTCGCGCATACAACAAGATTGAATAAAATCGATCGATCAGATCGGGGGAGGGAGGAGGGAGGAGTACGAATTAAAGTTGATGATTTGCTGATGTTGAAACTTCGAACTTTGAACTTGTCATCTTTCAAGTGAGATTTTCTTCTTTCGAAGATTCTTATCGTTCTTCGAACTTCAGGAAAACGATAGTACTCGAGCTTGCACGAGAACGAGGTTGCACGGCTTAATTTCCTTCTTTGAATGGCGCCTGCACGAGAAAGAAACTATTGAAGCTATCTTCTATAGATACCGCTTGCTAGAAGAAGCAATGCTTTGAGCCTCGACCAAAACAAAGCAAAGGCAGACCTAAAGTAGGCAGGAAAAAGACAGGATCTCGATCCGAGGATTTGGCGTCCCCGTCTATGGCAAATCTCGCACAGTTCGGTAGGTGTTTAACATTGCTTTTTGGGATGGTTATGAGAATACCAGATCAAAGTTTCGCATATTGAGGTTGATGCATTGCATACTTAGTTTTGTATTGTATTTTATTGTATTGTATTTTATTGTAATGCATTCCATTGTAATGCATTCCATTGCAATTGCCACAATGACTAGCGTATGATTTTAGGGATTTTGAATTCGAAATTTAGTTTTCTTATTGTTATTAGTGGTACAGTAAAAAGAATTGCCATGTTATCGTAGTGTAGCTCAAGAAAAGTAAACCCATGAAAATACCTGTAGGAACATCAAAATAAAAATTTCGAAGCAAAGGTAGTTTTGCTTCTGTTGCGACATCGTGCCATAGAGATCTTGCTCTTCATTGCCATCATACCTGAGCTATAAATCTCAAGCCAAACTACTGAAATCGTCATCCAAGTTGTTATCTTCGTCATCTTCTTGTTGCGACCGAAGGATAGCATCTTCGTCTTCGTCAAAGGAATGAACAATTACCGTATTGTCGGCACCGTCTGAAACGAGTTTCCGCTCATTGGCGAAAACGGAACCAAGCCAAACCTTGTAACCCGATAAAGCGTACAACACCTTTGGCATCTTTGGCTTTGGCCCCTTTGATTCTTCTGCTACTGCTCTCGTTTCGTCGTCATCATCGATATCGTTATCGTCGTCGTCGTCTTCAGCCCTCCCCGAACAGTCCCAAACACGCATTGTTCCATCGTGGGATGCCGAAACAAATAATCCTGGAGAGGGTGATTCCAAACACACAACTGGTCCCATGTGCTTAGGAGTAATTTTTGTCGTTCCCTCCGATGTTACTAACAGAGTGCGGGAAGGATTCTTTTCGTCGGTTGCTATAGATAGTTGGATCTGATACATGTGTCCATAGGACCCACCGATGATGAGTACAGCATCGCTATCCGATTCATTGAGAGCAGTTGTGGAATTATTTGTCAGGACAGCCATGGCTGTGCGAGCAAATTGCCTTTGAGAAATCGAAGCATTCTGGCGAAGCTTGGATGGGGCAAATGGATTGCAATGAAACAAAAAGCGACCGTCGTGGAGTGAATAAAGAAAGACTCCTTTGGTGTGGGTCGTCACGACAATGATTCCTGTTTCTTCTTCCACATTCATATCGAGGATCGGTGCTCCGACGTCAATGTCAAAGTCGGGGGCTTTCTGTCGCAACATGAGAGGACGGTCGTCGAGGTCAAACTCTTCGTGGTTGTAACCTCGAAGTTTTCCATCGTAACCACCTGCCCACAATGTTCCCCGATTGTCGAAGACCAAGGATGTTATGAGCGGAGGAGGAATGGATTTTCCATTGGAGTCAGTGCCTCCTTCCAATCCCCGAAATTTTCCCTCGCGCTGCAACCTGAGCTTCGTTTGTCGGACAGATCCCCCGCGACTACCCGAGGCCACATCTACTTCTTCGCCAATAATAGTACATGCGTAAATCCCACCCTCGCGTCCAGAGCTCACGACGAGATCCTTTTTCATAGCAATTGCAAAGGGACCATTTCCATCGTAGCCATCGTACAAAGCTTGGATACAAGCTTGGGCAACATCGTCGGGGATATCTTCGTGAATCTCTTCGGAGTGAACACCCTCCAAACAGTCCAGTTGGTCTCCATCATCCAAATTTCCAAGATACAAATTTCCTCTCGAGCTTCCGCATACTACCATCGGATATAGGTCCACCGCCATTCGACGAATCCAGTCATCTATTGTAAGGCGGACAGTGCTGACGCAATTCGCCTCGTTCCAGTTATAATTAAGGCGCTCGCGTTCTATCAGATCAACTTCCACAGCTTTTTCCGTCTGTTCTTCTATTCGTTGTTGTTCCTCTTTCAATGAATCTTGCCGCGCTCTCAAACTGGCGAATATATCGGTGTCGGACAATGAGGGAGTTGCCTCGTTGTTATTGTTGTTGCTTTCAGTGTCAGGGCTGTTTTGATTCAGAGAAAAGTCTGAAAAGCCTTCGAAGTCGTCGTAAAATATCGACTGAAGAACGACGGCTTCCCGTTGATGGCGCTGCCTTGAATGACCGAGATTCGTATTAGCTGTGGGAGAGAATGCTCTTGAAGAAGATATCACTCCGGAAATACCAAGTATACCAGCTAGCGTCCGCGCCATCTTGTTGGAAATGAATGAAGTCGAGAGAAAGTGGGCAAACTTTTTTCCAACTGCTATCTGTTGCGATGTCGGAGAAACGGTTTCAGGTATGTGTCTTGTAGTCGTTGCAACCGGGGTCGTTATCTTCGTCTTTCTATCCTTTTCGCCAGTGTAGAATCGCAATATGTTGTGGCTGTTTTTGTTTCTCGGAAGTCCTGAACTTTTGATCCATGAAAGAAAACCGACTGAACTTTGTGTGGCGGCGACGGAGAATCGACAAGCTGGACGGGTTGTCCATGTCGCATCATATCTGAATGGAAGCTAGTTAGAACCGTACTGCCTACGGCACGTTTACGTATCGTCTTGTAATAGAGTTGAATCTCATCTCAGTATGCTACACGTCATCGTGCGTGGTGGGGTCGGAGGATCATGCAACATTTTGGAAACGCGCGTTGGGATGCATTTTCACTATCTACATGCGAGCAAGACGGTGAACAGTGAACAAAGAACAGTAAATATTGAAATACGGAGAATGGTTTTTGTGGAACAGATGATATTGAATAGGACTAGAATAGACCCAATATTTATTTTCGAGAACTGCAAGAACAAAAAAGGTATCTTAGTTCGAACTTGCCTCTTATCGAAATTTCTGGAAATTTAATTCTGTTGTACCTGTTTGGGTTCGAATTAAGACTATCGATTCCTAACAGGTTATGAGTACATAAAACGCACCAGTTTTTGGCTAACTTTGCTTGCTTGTTAACTCAAGCAAAAGCACCAATCAGAATTAGAGAATCCGTCAGTCGGAAAGGGTTTTCTTTTCTCTTCACATAGATGTGCACATTGCTGGATGTTTTTTTTGAAAACCTTTTCGGGCTTCTTGATTTCTCTGCTCACCGAAAAATTTTAGAAAAAAATTAACACATCCCCCAGCATAGCAAGCTGTCACCTCTTTAGTTCTTCATCAATATCCAACCAATCGCGCTCACAAGACAACTGGGCTAATCCTTACATTAAGGGCTCAAGGATATGGAAGTAGCGGAGCGATCGACCAAGTGGTTTACAAGAAACAGGAGATCTAAGCAAGAACAGCTAAAATATCGACAAAAAATCGTATCGTATCAGCTCAGCTCAGCTCAGCGAGCATCCGTATCGTATCAGCGAGCGTCCCCCTGCCCCCCATAGTATCAGTAGCTCCTCCGTATCAGCATCCTCCTCCGTATCAGTAGCTCCTGCGTATCATCATCAGCGTCCTCCTCCTCCGTATCAGTAGCTCCTCCGTATCAGCATCCTCCTCCGTATCAGTACCGGTAGGGTCCTCGTAACAATTTGCGTGTACCGGGTTCCTTTTTGGTTCCAGGTGGAACTAAGTGACAGCTTTTGGTGCAGGGTGTAAAATAAGACTATTGTTCCACACGTAGAGTCCTGTAGAATCCCTACCGTTAAAAAGCTGTCACGTCTTATTTCGCACCGAAACAGGTACTGTGCAATAGAACGTAGTAGTAGTAGAAGTACAAAATGAGATATCCTATAACTAAACTACTTACTACTACTAATAGTGCTATTTGTCAAAATTGCAAAAAAAACTGTCAGCATAAAGCAGTACTAGCTACTACTAGTAGTGCTAGTAGAAATATTATTTCTTTTTTACTAATACTACTACTAATACTAATACTAGTAGTAGTAGTAGTAGTAGTAGTAGTAGTAGTAGTAGTAGTAGTAGTAGTAGTAGTAGTAGTAGTAGTAGTAGTAGTAGTAGTAGTAGTAGTACTAGCTAGTAGTAGTAGTAGTAGTACTAGCTAGTAGTACTAGCTAGTAGTACTAGCTAGTAGTAGTACTCCTAGTATGCCGAGGTGTCTGTAAATGTTGTTACTACTAGTAATAAAGTGAATCTTATTGAGGTTAGATGTGCCAATTCTCCGTTTTGAGAAGTTAAACGCTTTGTTGAGGTTACTACTGTGGATATTTTGCTGCGTGCCAAAAATCTCCTGTGGGGTGCTGGACCATTTCAGAAATTCTTCCATTCCCACCAGAATTAGTTCCACCAAAGCATAAATCCAACTGTCAATCTCTTCCAGATAATGATAAGGCCTCAATAATGCACAACCATCCTTGACAATAGAGAAAGGATCTGTAACAGTAGCATACCGCTAAAGTTGTTACCCTCCTTTTTCACCCACAGGAGTGTGTATGGACTCAGAAAAATTGAGGTTAGACTGGTGCCTCTGGAGAGTTGCACCATAATAACCAGCTAGTATCAAATCAAATCCATACCATCAAGGAGTTTCTTTGAATTAGATAGGAAGACATCACCACAGAATGTTTCTTCTGCCTGCTTCAAACATCCAAGTTGATGCATGCTGTGCAGCCTTTCCCCTGGATACCGTGACTGTTCACACCAAAAGAATCAAGGTTGTGGAATGCATTGCCTCCAATGATTGGGTGATGTGAGTTGTTACAATAGTGCTGTTCTAGGGAAACCCCAACAGGAATGGTTGACTCAGTGAAATCTAAAGGGTGCCACAACCTGAGAGGAGAGAGTAATGGGGCAAGCTGCTGTCAGTGCATGTTTTACCCCTAATCTTGCTTTGTGAGCCTTTTTTGAGACTACCATTGATTGTCTCATCAGATTTGTAATTGTTGTCTTTACTTTTGATTGCACTTTGAAGATCCTCAAGTTTGTTTGAACTGGAAGCATTCAGGATGTTAACTTTTGAGTTGATTCCAAGTGCATGAGGGCAGTTACAGTGTCAACAGATCATTTTGGTATTAGCAGAAGTGAAATGCCCACATAGCTTGCCATGTTGCTACGTGTCGCCTACAAAGAAAGCAACAGCAAACTTCAATCTCAGATTCCAAAGTTCACCATCCCATGGACAATTGTGCCACCAAATATCATGTGACAATTTGCAAGAAATTGCTTGGAAAGATGTGAGAGCTGCCCCTAAACCACAGTGAAGATTGTTTACATTGTTGACCAACTGATTGCTTTTTCCTTGAAGATTGAAATAATGAGTCTCCCAAGTGTTGGGTCTGGTGGAGCAGGTGAGATCACTGAATATACCAAGAGTCATATTCAATGGACTCTTCTGTACTTGTCTATAGCAATGCCCTCCATGTAGAATATAATGGGAACCAACATTTTGTCTTTATTTGGATTGCACTTTTTTTCAAGTTTCCACCCACCATTTGCCGTCTTGGGATTTGCAGATAAGGGAGTATGCTGTCAGTTCTGGAACTCAGCACAGTGAAGTGGGGGTTTTCTGATTGGTAAACCATAAGTTTTCTTCTTTGATTAATCAAACCTTGATTAAGAGAGAGAATGTGCATCTGAAGGACCTTACATAGATTAGTTTGTTGTCAACATTTTTGCTAGAATGCCATTCAATAAGCTGCAGTACAAAACCATCCCTGTGTAGTTCAGGGGCTGCTATGTAGCATTTGTTTAGAACAGATTGGTGAGTTTTGATCAGACTGCTTCCAGTACTCCTGGTGAAACCAGACAACCTCTCCGATTTGATAGCACATTGATATAGCTCCCTTTCAGCATCAAATGGTATGTTGTGGTCTCTCATAATCTTCATTAACTTTATTTTTACCTTCATTGGGAGTGGTAACAACCATTGATTGACAGGTGTTTTGATTACATTGACAAGAACAGAGTCAGAGCTTTCCTCCAACTGAACACCATTGTCAAGATCAGAATCAACAGATTCCATTGCAGACTATATTAACACACAATCAACTTCTTCAACTGAAGGGTTATATCACTTGGTCATCAAGATTCTGCAGCATGCCACTAGAAGTGCTGCATTTGGTATTAGTAGTTAACACTAACCACTGGCTAGGTAACGCCAACCATGTCCCTTGAAGCTTTGTACAAGGGAGAACTGAAGTCGTGGGTTGCGTTGCCTACATAGATATAGTATTGGAAGGAATCTTTGCTGATTCTAAGATGAGAAAGTAGTTTTGTTGATGTGATGAAGCCTGATTTTTTTTGCATTTGGCACTGTAAAATACAGGACGCTGGTTCTTTCAATTTCTTGAGATGTGACAGTTTCTTTCACAGAATACCTCAAGCTTGGGGGGGGGGGACTGATATGATAGAAATGACAGGGTATGTGGTATATGAGTTCAGAATGCCTTTCCTAAGGAATGAGTTACGTGGGAGGGTTGACTTTTTGTTGTGCTGTCAGTGTGGAGCTATGTTACTTCTTTGAAGTAAATGTATGCTCATTCCGGAAACATGTTCTGACAAAACATAGTTGTGAATGATTTTCCAGATTTTTATTCAAACAGGAAAAACTAAGGGTGGAAGTTGCAAAATGCGCAATACCATGAATCCCATTTGTGTGACGTACTGCTACTACTACTAGTATGTGTATCATACTACTAAGAAGGAGCACAGCAGGCTCGCAAAATCACATGCTGGAAGGCTTCTTGTTATTATTCTTCTGGCACTAAGCAATTACCTGCACCAAGAAAAAGTAATCCATTCTGGTGGTGCTGATGGTACTAATAGTAGTAGTGCTGGCAGTACTAGGATATTTTACTACTAGTACTAGTAATAGATAGTAGCTACTATGGAAATAAAATCACGGATCATGAAGAGTCACGCAAAGGAACTACTATGAAGCAGGCTCAAAAAGTTTATTTCATTTTAAGCACGGAATGAAATAGACAGTGGGTCAGTCACACAGATTGATGGTAGTACTGATGAAGCAGTCCAGGGGTGAAAGTGGGATGACAGGAAAAAGCCAAACAAATAGTGTGAATAAGCCAAAGGCAATCCTGGAGTGGAGCTTGAAGGATCTGCTTGTGGCTCTTGCCAGAGCAAAACAGAGTCTTGATCTGACTAGATTATATACCTACGTGTAGTGACTTCCTTACATAGAGGCAAGCTTTGATGACACTACAAAATATCGCAATAATATCGATATTGTCTTCTTGCCTTTATTGCCCGTTGATGTGTTTGTTGAAAAGACCTTCGTGTATTCAATAAATTGAACATGAAATGGATTGTCGTGTTTGAATCAGAAATGTCATTTTTCATGATGACTTTTACAATGTCTGTGAAAAGTTTGATCAGCGATTCACTGTTAATGAAGCAATGTCGATATCGAGGCAGGGTGATCGGCGTTGGTAACATTTCTTCGCAGTAGAACAGAGATATCGAACCTGTGTTTTTCTTTTCTTCGGAATGTCCACCGTGGTGTAGAATCATTTAGAAATGTGCAATGCACTCATTCCGGTTGGGATAAATCCTTGTCAACGTACTATTTTCTGATGATTGCCAAGCATTCTTCCGAGCGTACTCCAGGCCGTTCTACAACCGATATTTCTCATAGTATTTTATTTAGAATCAAACTCGCAAAGTTTTCTTCTGACACACTTTTGATTTCAGGACAATGAAAGCAGCTTTGCTTCCGGTTATTCTGAATCTTGACAAAGTCGTTTGAAGTCGAGGTTAAGACGAGGTGAGGAAGCAAGAAAATCGCGAGCAAGTGTTTGCAAATGGGTGGGCCGTCTTGATGGTTCTCGTCATTGCTGTAATTGTGACGGTCGACTCCAGTGTCACTCCCAGTCTGATCTGGGATCGAAGCAGACGCTTTCTTGGTAGACTTTTCCAAAAACGAACGGCAACTGCAATATCTGAGCGGTGGTATGGACCGCGACGACTGCGATGGCGACAAGAGGCAAAAATAGTATTCGTCGTCGTTCCTTGCCTCCTTGCCCGAAAGTTGAAAAGAACTCCCAGTAGGCGGTGTCGCCATCGACGACGAGCGAATAGCGTGCACAAACCGCCCTGAAGGTGCTACTAACTTAGTAACAAGAGAACCGTGAGAATCTACAATCGCCAGTGCAGAAGACAAAGTCTTGTGGCCAAAAATAAACTCTGCAACGGAGAGTAATTCGTCAGAATCAACAGCATCCGAAGAGTTCTCGCCACTTTCATATTTAGCCCTGCAATACGTATCGAGTTGCTCCAGTGGATCTTCCCTGCCACTAGAAAATAAGGTTGGCCTCGTTATTGCCATCGTTTTCATTATCGTGATCGTGAAAATGAGGACTGACAATCAATTAATTATTCGAAAACCACGATCCAAAATTCGAAACTGCCTTTCAAAACGCTGGTTACAAAAAATTTCTTGCTGAAACCAAAAAATGTTATCTGTTACAGTAACTACTAGTAGTAAAAGTATTACCATAACCGTTGAGCAGCTCAACATTTCCATGTACAAGTACCGTACTCAGCGCTCGTAGTATTTTTTAGGTACATTATTTTGTTGAGCAATTAGTGCGTACAAACACTAGTTATTTTTTTGCTCAAGTACATGCACCTCAACTGGTTACAAAGCGCGCAGACTGAATTTTGTAACCAGAATTTGTAACCAAACCCTTCCCTAAGGAGAGCCCATAGTTTTTACACGATACCACTAGTAGTGTGGTTACAAAAAAAGCAGGTCTGGTTACAAAAACAGGCGCACTGGTGCGCTTCTGCGCGCTTGTTGTAACCAGGCAAATGCAACTCAACAGGTACAAACTAAAAACTGTCTTCACTACTGTAAATACATAGTATCAGTAATTGTACACATTATCTTGTACAAGGAGTATGGGCAAAAGTTAGCAGTTCTCAGTTGAAAACTGATCTTGATTGCTATTCCAGTACAAACTCGTGTAGAAAACACCGTAGAAATATTGATTTGCAGGGGGAGAAACAAGCAAAAAAACAAGCAAAACACAAAAAAGCAACACCAGCAGCAGTAACTTGTATCATATCAGCGGCTCTCTTCTCTGTATTGTATTGTCAGCAACTCCTTGTATCGTATCAGCGGCTTGCTCCTCTGTGGTATCATATCAGGCGCTCGCTCCTCCGTATCGTATCAGCAACTTGTATCTTATCAGCGGCTTGCTCCTCCGTATCGTATCAGCAGCTTGCTCCTCCGTATTGCAACTCATATCAGCATCCTCCGTATCAGCATCCTCTGTATCAGTGTCCTCCCTGTCAGTGTCCTCCGTATCAGCGGCTCCTCCATATCAGCGACTCGTATCAGTGAACTCTGTAGTATCAGCGATTGGCTGCTGAGTACATGGAAATGTTGAACTGCTTCAACGGTTACGTAAATTTCTGTGGAAGAGCTGTGCTTCAGCGCAACAAGTACCTTCAACACTAACAAGCTCTTGAGCTTGTTAGTGTTGAAGATACTTGCAGTATCCTCACTTCAATCTCAAGCTAAAGCTCACAATCTCAGTGATGTTACTGGTGTAACCAAATTGTACCAGAAAATGTACTCTGTTGAGGCCCGTGTTATTTGTGTGGGAAAAGTTTTGTACTGTGTGTTCTCAAGCTAACAACAACAACAACAACAACAACAACAACAACAACAACAACAACAACAACAACAACAACAACAACAACAACAACAACAACAACAACAACAACAACAACAACAACAACAACAACAATTTGAAGGCACCCATCAGCAGCAGCGACGCTTAGCAACACTATCAGCAAAATCATCAATGCCACTGACCAACATAACCAACAACATTTGTCAAGGACAACACAACAATTGATGAGAAGGATAACATGACAACCACACCGGCAAAACCAACAACACCAAGGGCTTTTGTTGAGTCCCAAGCATCTTCCCTTGAAGCAGCCTTTGAGTTACTAGAATCAGATGTTGAAACTTTGTTTGAATATGAAAGCTCAAGTGATGATGAGGTGGTTGATGATACTGGGCCTAATTATGATTCTAATGCTTCTGGAATGAGTCACAAGGAGGCATCACAAATAGAGTTCTTTAATGTAATCACACAGAGGAGCCAGACAGCTTGGAACTGGGATGATGCTGTTGAGCCTCATGATATTGAGCTCTTATAGTGGAAGAATGGAACTATTATTTATAGCTGTCTCAACTTTCCAAAGGTTCCAGTTGGTGATGAAAGGAGGGATCCAATGTTGTGATGGTTTGAACCAAAACAGAGACCATAAAATACGTCCTTGATGTCATGGTGTGATTGATTCTTGAACTTATCTTCACTTCTGGACTAGCATCAGGAAAGGAGTGGTGGAAGTCCTCTGGTGTCCACTTGGTTGCATTTCCTTGAATAGAAGGAATATTTATAATTGGAGAATAGCATTGCAATGCCTGCACATTTGAACCACATCCTTGTTAAAGGAGCCATATTCTCCACAAAGTTTGGCATACAATGCAATAGAGAACTCCAATTTTGATTTCCACTGTCTACCTGTGTACCAGAGGTAGTCCCATTTTATTACAGCATCTTTCTCGCATTCATCTCTAAATAATTTGAGAGCTGCTTAAAGCCCATTGTGTAGGTTTTGACTTTTTCTTGTGATGTTGCTGAGCAAGCAGTATGGTTTGGTGTGTATTGCAACACTGAAAGTACCCAGTGTCATGTTCAGTGGAGTGAGAGTGAGTCTTCCTTGTGCATCCAAAGATATTCCATTCATATAGAAAATGGAAAATGATGGGTAGAAGAAGTAGTGAATCAGAGGTGCAAATTTCATCTCAGCAAGAGGTCTTCCGCCAGGTAGCATTGTGCAATTCTGAAATTACAGAATTGTCATTCAACTGTGGTTCATTACACCAAGACAGAGGAGTTGTGGTGTTAGGAAATGAGAGATTTTCTTCCCCCCTTAGTTCCTTGTCTGAGAGTAGAGAGTAGAGAGCATCATGAAAGGACCTAACATACACCTGTGTTGGTTAAATATACTAGTCATTCTCCAATGTGGATTAGTATCACTGAAGTCAAATCCTGTTCTGTTCTGACTTTTCTGGTGTGCTTATTTCCATGTTGATGTTAATGTAGCAAGTGGAAGTTTGTGCTTTGCCATTAGGTTCATAGTAGTAGTTCAATCTCTGCAAGAAGCTGGGCACATATATGACAAAACATCATGTAATTTTGTTGTCCTTCCTCTCTTTTTTGATTGAAATCAATGGTTTCATTTGCTGGCTGTGACAGAGGTTAGACAGCTTGAGGTGGGTCAGGATTATCTCTTGATTCTGTGCATTGCTGTTGTCAAAAGTACATTTGCCATCACTATCACCATTACCATCACTGTTGCTACTACTGTCTTGAGCAGAGGCAGCCACCATGTGAGATTCAATAAGACTTCTTTCCATTGGTTGGACAAATCCATTGTGGATGACTTGCCTGTTAAATATGGAGTGAAAGTTGCTTGCCAAAGAAGGCCTTGGTCCATGATTAGGATTGCTGAAATGGGATGGCAGACTTGGTCTATTTGCAACCATTGAAATCAGTTCAAGAATGGTAAACTGGAGGAATAGATGTTTACTCTCTAATTGAAGTAGAAAAATTTATGTCACTTCCTTTATAGAGGTTCTGGGAATTGTAGACAGAATAGCATTCTGAATTATGCAAGAAATGTCCTTTTTATCCTGCTGTGACATGATTGACTGTGACGTGATTAGTTGATTGAGATTTATAGTCTTTGAACTTTGATTTCTTCCCTTCTACTAGTACTAGTTCCCAACACTCATGACAATAGAATACAATAGGGGTTCTGATTGCAGGAGGCATGATAGTAGTGCAATGTACAGTAAAATAAAAAGAGTAGATGATGAAAAGAATAGAACAACAAGGAAGGCAGAACAAAAGTTTGTTTTGATGCAACAATTTTTTGTTTTGGTGTACAGACGATTCAAAATTGCAGGAGACAACTCACATATTCTGCCCTGTCATTGTTCTTGTTGACACCAAAATCTTTTTGTTGTTCTACTACTAGTACTACTAGTATGAACACTCCTGGTACTCCATGATGCCAGCATAACACTTATACCTTCCACCAACAATGATTACGACGGCAAAAACGAGAATACCTACTGTACGGCAGAACAATTCCAATCAATGGATTTTTCTTCATGAAGGTTTATTCGTGGTGGTACGATTACTGTACAGAACTATCATAAAAATGTAGCACTACTAGTAGTACATACTTGGTACCCATTAGTGCTCTCATTTTCCACACAACACACAAATACGTCTCACTTTTCGAAGTGCTTTGCGATATTAGGTATTTACCCTCATACTGAACGATTCTTCCATTCTACTTGAGCGAACGAAGAAAGGTTTCAAAGCGATTTTCTCTCAAACTTACGGAAGGGTGCTCTCCAATAATCAAGGCACTACTGTAATCACATTGATTGATAATGTGTCAACTTGAGAACGGTTCTCATTATTCGAAAGACGTGCACGTACCGTACGGTACTTGGGTACTGTAGTGGAGGAATTGAAAAAAAAATCTGTTTCAATTACTGTATTTCAATTACCTGTACGTAATTGCTACTGGTATGGTACGTATGACCAGATGCTTCAATTATTTTATGCTACAATACTCCCTAAAATACCGTATTGTTTCGCCATATGTCAAGCTTAGCGATCCGGGTCGTAAGATTATTAGAAGAACGAATGTCAGCGAATCGCTGGTTGAACAGCTGCTGATAAAAACAGTACAGGGTCGCGAATATGTTATTCAATAACCGAACAGTGATTCGTACAAGGAATAGGCAAGTACCAGGCAAGTATCGTGCCGTACGGTAGCGTGCCGTACACAGTTCGTTGTTGGTGATGGCTGAAGTAAGTAAGTGCATGTACCGGTACGTAATTACTTATGATCTTTTCCCTTTTGATTACTACTACTTACTTATCGTTCTCTTGAATTGGAATGACCCGTAAGTCCTTCAGGCTGTCAAAAGGCCTCCTGAAATAACAACTTCCTTGCAATTTTTGTTCTTTCTCCTAAATTTCACTCCAATTTCACTCATCGCTAATGGAAAAAATAGAACGATAAGTCACTTCAAGGACGGTCTGAGTACGTACCTAGTAGCAATAGAAACGCCCATTGCAACGTCATCGATAAAGTGCGATACTCTGGTCATACGGTCTTCAAAATTTACAACCGGAGTCATCCTACCGGAAATATCCTACTTGTGCCATGGTGTCAGACAAGGCAAGCAATATGGAAGCAGAAAAGTTCTCGAGGTGTTCGGGGAAAGCCATGATGTTATGTGATAGTGAATTCTTAGATGCGTGCTGCCCTATTTGCTATGAGCCGTTTCTTCCTGTGGATGTTGATCCGATTCGACCAGTGGCAGCGAAAGTTGGTAGCGAGTCAACTTTTTGCCGTCAAGAAGACTCACAGTCTTCTACGGATGAAAGAAACGGCATATACAAGAAAGCCGATGGTGACTGTAGAAAAGAAGGAACCTCTTCTAAAGATATTGATATTCTTATTATTCACCAGCAAGATGACCGACATTCACACACCGATACTGAGAAGGAACATTGCCAACCTTGTCACGGAAATTGCCGTCTTGATCCAAGACAACGAGTGACAATCCCGGAATGTGGACATGAATATTGCCGTGGGTGCATCAAAAAACATTGTTCGTATGCCATTTTGATTCGGGATATGCCGATTCAGTGCCCTGGATGTACGAGCGGCACTTCTAATCCTTGTTCTTCTTTGCTCCCTGAAGATATTATTGAAGAGTCATTACTACTGAAAGAGAAATCCGTAGAAGAGGATGGCGGCGATTGCCCAATAAATACTCTGTCATCTTCTGCCCGCAAGGAAGGAAGTACTGTCAACCAAGATTTGATCAAGTTTCAACGCCTTCAGAGAATGTTGAAGGATCCATCATTGATATCTTGCACACGTTGCGATGAGCTAATTCCGCCAGATTCGAACATACAGATGATTGGCTGCGTTGATCCAAATCGCATCGAATGTCCTGCCTGTCATCACGTATTTTGTCGGATTCATGGGGATGCACACCTCGGGATGGATTGTTACACTGCTTCTGCGAAAAAAACTGATGAACGCAATGAACGAAAATCGGAGTCTGCAATTCGCAAGCGTTGCAAGCCTTGCAGCCACTGCCAGTCTCTAATAGAACGGGTATCAGGATGCGATCACATCATCTGCCCCGTGTGTCACAATGACTTTTGTTTCAGGTGTGGTACCCACATCTACCTTCAAGGCGAAGGTATGGTTCGAGATTGTTCCAAATGCCAGAAGTCCTACATCGATCACAGGCACATTGGAAAGTACCGTCTGTGCATCGGATTGTGGGTGCCATTGCTGCTCCCCTTTTATATCTCCTACATCACGATGACCATAGGGTTTGCAATAGTTACATGCGGATTCTTCTGCTGTTTGGGATGTGGTATCAGAAAGGATAAGAAAACGGATTCCATAATATTTATGCCCGTAATGGCGGCACGGGAAATTCTGAACTTTGTCTTCCTACCGTTCGTCGACTTGTCCCGCTCATGTGGGATACCGTGCTGTTTCTGTAACAATGCTCCTGGTCTTGGTAAAGGACAGTATGCAGATAACGACGACGATGACGAAGAAGACTACGACGATAGTGTAGAAAGCGAGGACTACGACGAAGAAAATCAAATGCAAGAAAATTCGCTTCGTTAGAAAACTACTGCTGCCCTCGCTGCTGTTGCTACTTCTGCTGATAGCAATGCTTCTGGGAGCTTCTGATGCTCTGAATGTTTAAGCTTCATCTTCATGACTATATATTTATCTCTCCAATTTTTTAACGTTACTGTGCATCCATCTAATCATATAATGAACTATTAGGAAATTAGCAACTGATTCGAGTGCCTTGAACTACTACGTACTGTCTAATCACACTGTTGTACTCAGTATTTGAATAAATACTGGTGATTGGGGCCGTATTTTCCTCAGTATCGTTCAAGAATGCAATTTTTGCTCTCTTCATTCATTTGCTAATTTCGTGGAAACAACACAATGATTCAAAGATTTTGTCTTCCTCCTTTTCTGCTTTGGTCTCTCGTCTTGTACGAATTCACATCCTTCGGATATAATTATAATACCAGACCCGGAGATGTATGATAATGGGCATTTTTTTCTCAAAATCGTACACTTCTTGTTATCGTGCTTCCCTTTTTCTACCACTCAGAATGCTTTTTTGTACTCTTTTCCTAGACGACTGCCGTGGGCGCTTCCATGACACTCTGAGCGCTAGGATATAGTCTCGAAATTGTACTTTGACGTGCCAGCACCGAGAATTGTTCCTGCCCTTCCTTCAGGGCTATTTGTGCGGCATCTCTGCATCAACAACAGCAAAGTAAATGGTCAGAAAAATTATATGACAAACAAGCGATTGGACTACAGAAGGCAGAGTACTGTTTGTTGATGTTTGTTGATGGCGGACTATGTCTCTTGCGCGGTCGATGATCACATCAACCCATCCATACTGCTCATGTGATCTACCAAACGTCGGTTCCGAAAACTAAATGGCGGCTGTGCTAGTTAATAACAAAATCTTGAACCCGAGGACTCACCCTTCCAGGTGACGATTCTTCTCGAATCCGCCACGGATACGACGTACTGCATAAGCTCGAAAGTTGTAGTCGTTGAATTGCTTTGCTTCTCGCAATAGCCTTCGGAATAATGCTATCTGTTGTGTCATGTTGATTCGACGGATAACTTTTGTGGTGGTTGCTTCTTTCTTATTTCGTTCTGTGGTTTCAGCGAAGAGCGAACAGCGTACGTTTATTCTAATCTTCGATGTTTCTCTGATGATTGTTTTCAGAGAAATTTCAGTTCGAGTGAATAACGAAAGTGTCCCGCTACCGCACGTTACCGCCATCGCATGATACTGTAATCTTCTTATCGTACCGGTAGGTAGAGCAGTACTAGAAATACTAGAAGTTCCGTAGAAACTACCTGTAGTCTTAAACCGTACCGGCCGTACGGTGCTATGGTACCCGTACTACCTTCTCGGAAAGTACTAACCACTAACGTATGTACGTTACATACTATGAAGATATTGAATCCACCGGCAGCCCTGTCCACCGGTACGTACTACCCGTACTACGGTACGTAAATTGTATTGGGAGGACCGCTGGTATTGTTACGTAATCTTACCATACTACAGTATCTTCTACTGTACGAAGAACTTCAGTAAGTACTGTACTTAACTTCTACAGTACGAGTACTTCTACTGATGAATGATTTTAATTTTTGGATCTTCCTGTTGAGGTTCACTTTAATCACTCTTTCTTACTTCAGTTGTAGGAACAACGCCAAGGATGGGACGAGGAACTTTCGAAAGCGATTGCAATAGAAATTAACAGGTTCAGAGACCTCCGGTGTATCGGGTTGGGTCATGGACTTGATTGCACTCATAGAAGATTCCACAGACGACGATAGTGAGATTAAGAGTTATAGTGACACTGGCGATGGCAATCAAAATATTGATCAGACCACCAATGGCGAACACAATGCGTCCTCCAAAATCAGAAGAAAGCGCACGGACAAAGTGTCACATGAAGGAAGGGCGAAAGTCATACGAAGAGGATTGATTGATGTTGTCTCGTCGAGTAAGGCGAGAGATTCCCGCGTGTTTTCGCGCTCCATCCCACATCGCAGGGGTCATTGGGCTGGACACGTCAAGATACCAATCTTGATGGCATCCTCGCCATCCGAAAACGACGATCTCGAACCGTTGCGAAAGACAAAAACGAGAAACGTGGCAGCACTACAAAATTTTCTTGAACGACGAGGCATCTCCGGAACGATGATCGAGCACGATAATTTGCACCTGTCCCTGTCGAAACATTTTTCGCTACAAATTGCCAACATCGAGCCCTTTGCCCGACGCCTCGGGGAGCTTTTGCAAAATGAACCCAGTACGAGTCTTCATGTGGAAACAATGGTGGAACCATGTCACGAATCAAATCTAGTGCATGGGGAGTTTGTCGGGGAGATAATTGACGACATAGTGCTGCTAAACGAAGAAAAGACAAGGTCGTTTTTCTGTTGGAGGGTACGTCCAAATGTAACGCTGCTACGAATCGTAGCCCATGTTGATGCTATTTTGAAGAGATACAACCAGCCAGTATATTATCAGCCCGCCCACTTCCACATTTCTTTTGCATCCTTTGCAGGAAATATCATAGAGAGTTTGAACAAAACTAAGGGCGAGTACGTACACTCAAGACTGGATGTCGATAGCGAACGATATTTTCAATCACCGTCAAATAATGTTGTTGGAGCCAGTATAATAGGATCCAAAAACGAGAGAGGAGTTGGTGACGATGATGACGATGACGATGACTCGGAGCAAACTGTTTATATCCTTCCTGTGCATCACGTAGAATGTACTCTGGGTACAACAAAGGAATACATCATCCCACTTCGAACGTGCCATCCATTTTGATACCTTTATCTTAAATACTTATGATCGAAACGAACTCCTTTATCTTTTGTCCTAGTTACCCGGAAGTGTTCAGTACGTACAGTTACTCATAGATCTATGAATACTGTCTATCGAAAATGTAATAATGACTACTTGTGATACATTACAATATACTCAACTACAGTGCTACGTTTGAAAACACCCGTGCGATGATATTCACTTGATGTATTGAGTTCCCCTGATTTCTGAACATAAATTTGCCAGCTACCTGCCATGTCGCAGATTTGACGACTGAGACAGTCTTCGTTGTGATATGGCAGCATCTCCCCCTTCGAAGCACCGGTTGCAACATTCTGGAAACTCGCACTCAATTTCCGGATCGACTCCACCGCAGTCTGAAAACAACACCTTCAATTTACCAGTACCGCGCAAGTCACAAATAGATTCGGGCATACTTCCTGTCAAGAAGTTAAATTGTACCAGGCTATATTTTTCAGAAAGCAACAATTTCGAGCGGTTGAGTTATGTACGTGCATGCGCAAAAACTATTACAGAAACATGACGACTATTCGCCGGTGAAACAGCCCAACGCAATCGTATTTTCACGGAGGATATGTCACTTACAACTCGGAGAGACTTTGGAATTGCCCTCCTGAAATCTCTGGGATGGTTCCAGTCAAGGCGTTGCCATCCAGGTAAAGGTCATGCAATAACGTTGCACTGGAAAAGTCCTCCGGAATTGTACCAGTAAATGTGTTGTTGGATAAATATGCAATTCGTATTGTAGGTACTTCAAAGAGCGATTGAGGGATTGTACCAGAAAAAGCCGAATTGGATATATCCAAGAAATCAAGACTTGTAAAGTCTTGGAACACATCCGGAAATACACCGCTCCAGAAATTGTTATTGATGACCAAATTTTCTAAATTCGATAAACTTCGTATTTCTTCTGGAATCTCTCCGTAGAGCGAGTTTCTATCGAGTCGTAGATCCTTCAAGTTGGTGAGACCGCCAACTTCGGTGGGTAGCACTCCTGATATAAAGTTATAATCCAGTCGGAGTGTTTCTAACTGTGTTGCTGAGAATAATTCTGCCGGAATTTCGAACTGCAATGTGTTATTGTAGAGTTGAAGGTGAAGGAGATTGTTAAGGTTACCTAACTCTTTTGGCAATGTGCCCTCAAGCTTGTTTTCGTAAAGCAGCACAGATTCCATTTTACCAGATGCAGCAATTTCTTTTGGAATGGTACCTGTTAATTGGTTTCCGGCTGCCCATAACTGGCACAATAGGTTCAGTTTGCTGATTTCTGCAGGAATATTCCCAGACAAAATGTTATTCGATACTCGATAAGATACTAAAGACTCCAAATGAAATAATTCGTCAGGAAAAGCTGGTCCGCTGAATTGATTCGTTTCCAAATCCAGAAGTACCAAATCTGTTAGCGCTGCTAAACTGCTTGGAATTGTCCCCGTAATGGAGTTCGAATAGACATCAAAACGCTGTAGCTTGTCAAGCAATCCGATCTCGTCAGTCAAGGAACCGACCAAATTATTTTGTGCTGAGAGTCATTGGGTGGTGGAACGTAATCACAAAGTTAGATGGAATGCAATGCAAATGGTTTCCAAGCGTCTGCCTAGCACAAAACGATTTCACTTACGCAAAAAAAGTCTCGTAACATATTTCGATTCAATACTGTCGTCGCAGTCTACTCCGTACCACGAGCACTCGTTCTCTTCTCGAAGCCAACCAGAGCTATCAACCCAGCTTTCTCCATTTGTCGAAAAGAAAAACGTTGTAAGTGCATGCCGCTGTTGCAAGGTGCTGTAGGTACAAGGGTCAAGAACGCCTCCGTCATTATTGGTAAGGTAGTCATAAGACTTCCCCTGTGGTGTTGTCACGTCGAGCAAAAGTTCTGGTGGAGTAAACATTTTGAGAAGGTCAAAAATATGCTCTGCTCTCGATTTGCCCTCTTCGCAAGCTCCAGATTCTGGCGCAATCGTTCCATCTGGCGTAGGTGTCGAAGTCAATACAGGTTTGATTGTTGGCACTGGAGTAGACACTGGAGTAGGCATTGGGGTGGACTGTGGGACGGGCTTTGGGGTCGGACTAGGCAGGGGGGCCGGTGCCGGTATGGGCGGCCTTTGAGGAGGTCTATCGTTAGATGACGAAAGGCTCATCGACATCATGTCTTCGCTATGCAGAAGCCGCAATGCTTCGATATCATTTCTAGCTGCCCTCGAAGTCTTTCCCCAAATATCTCCCATCGCAATATTTGCAGTTAGACTTCGTTCAAGTGAACTCCCCGATGACGGTTTCCTGTTTCTTCCCAAGCGGTAGGCATTTTCAATCCTAGACTCTTCAACTACCTCGATAGCTCCTACCACCTCTGTCGCCAGGTTCAGCACGAGAGCACTTCCCAGAGTGTGCCAAAATTTTCTTTTCGTGCCTTTTTGAATCTTCGCCATGGTCAGCTCTGTAGTCTTCTGTAGTATTGTGTCGGAACTTTCAAAATAATGATTGATGAATCCGATTACTCTACAAGAAATTTGTGAACCAATTTAATCGTACGAATTCGACAATTTTAGGGTCTCGCCGTGCGTGCGCGCCAAAAGGACAAGGATCGGAATGGCAGCGAGCAAGGCAAAGATTTTGGGAGTCGATTCTTTTTTCACTAACTTTTTCAGCGTGATAGAGCTACTAAGTACAATTCCATCCCAGGGTGGCAATTTTTTCTCATTTTCCCATCTTTATTTCCCCTCTCCCCCCCCCCTCCACACGCAAGTCCGGAAATATTTCTATTAGTAGTGGCCCTTACTACTGGGGATATAAAATCAGTTGCTTACTTCCTCAGAATTAATATTAGTGCTTACTACTGGATCACCTAAATTACTACTAATAGTACTTAGTACTACTAGTTGGGATGTCATAGTACTAGTGAACACTGCGAACCAGCACCAGCCAACAACAGAGGAACCCTCTTACCAAGCAGTTTGCAGTGTTCACAACTATGACATCCCAACTAGTAAGTAGTAATGGAGGTTATCCAGTAGTAAGCACTAAGATTGATTCTCAAGTAGTAAGCACTGATTTTATATCCCCAGTAGTAAGGACACTGCAACCACTAAAAGAGATATTTTGGGAATAGCAAGAAATTAACAACAAACAATGGAAATATTTTTATTTTTGTCTGTTCAATGCCTTTTTTAACTGGTTTTAACTGTAAAAATGAGCTAAAAAATTCTATTATTATTTGTACAGGGATTGCCAAAAACTTGCCAGCACTGGAATTGTACTTACTAGCTCTACAGCGTGAGGTTTTGAAAGCCTTTATGTACATTACATCAGGGGTCAAAAGTTTTAGAGGGGTGCACATCCACAGGTGTTCATTTTGCACAAAAATGTGATCTTATTTACTTTTCTGGACTGATTTAGAGTTAGGGATAATACTAATATTCTACTACCTCCATTCCTAAATAATGGTACACCAGTTTGCACCGCTTGGGTTGGATCAAGCTCAATATTTGGGGGATTTGACTGCTTCTGTTTTTGTTTAACACCAGATCTATTTTAAATGTATGAAGTTGTATAGATTGTATTTTGTGAAAGTGTCTGATGTAGTTGTGGCAGTAACTTAAACAAGCCTATTTTTTCTTATCAATGTGAAAATACCGTCAGTTGGGTTCTAACAGTCATTTTGATACACTGCCACTTGCACATGATAGCTAAGAGTGACATGTTTTGTAGGCTTAAATTCTCTTCAATATGGCGAACTTTCTTGTATTCTTGGTCTTCTTGTTCAAAAGAGGTGCCTGGTACTGTTGTCAATGAAAACTTTATTTGTTGTGTTAATAGAGTGTGTTTTAATGTGTGAAAAATAAAATAATTTTTATTCACGCACATGCTCATTTTTATCTACTACAGTACTCATTCTACATGTTGTACACAGTCATACACAGTCATTTGTGGAATCCAACAGCCAAAAACTCCAAAATCTCTTAAGTAAATAATGCACCAGCAATTTAGGACTACTGCTCTAGAGTAAGGAATGACAAAAGAACTAAAGATAGGAGACACTGGACATCTCCAAGCAATGAGAAGCTGAGAGATAACTCAGAGTATATGAAGTACTTCTTATTGGATATAGAGGACGCAGCTGACGTGGCTGTTCAGGACACTGCTGTTGATGTTGATGTTGATGTTGTTGTTGTTGTTGTTGTTGTTGTATCACCCAGCAGCACCAATGCAACCACTATTAACAGTGAACTAACTCTACCAACTGCAGATAGTAGTACTGAGATAAGCACAGTGGTTTGACCATTAGAATCACGCAGTGTAACAAACAAAATAGTAATTATTAAATATGGATAGTTGGCTCTGTTTGCTTTGTTGTCAATTGCTTTGCCAATTGCTTTGTCGGTTCGTTTGTTGGTTCGTTTGTTGGTTCCTTTGTTGGTTCCTTTGTTGGTTCCTTTGTTGGTTCCTTTGTTGCCAGTTGCTGATTTTGTTGCAGTTGCTGATTCATCAAAGGTGAACTCTTTGGCACACTGAATGCAAGGAGTGTAGTTGTTTTCCCTCTTCATCACAGACCTGGAGATCTCAAAGAACCACTTTTGTTTATCACCAACACTCATCAATGGAGGCAACTGCGGCTTTGAAAATCTAGCAAGCTCTATTGCCTTTCCAAGATCTTTCTTTTTCAAACAGGTCTTCTTTAAACAACCAGCACAGCTTGTTTAGTTCTTTGTTGTGTGGTGTTGACTTCCGGTCCCATTCCCAATCCTCCACCCACTTCCAGTCTTGATTCATTACAAACTGTACTTGAGGTGAAGGATTGTTGATTACTTCTGGTGGTGTCAGCTCCAGAGCTTCAGGGGGTGGTGCAGAGGTATCAATTACAATTTGGATCTTCCATCAAACCCCTGGGTCAATGTGTTGTTGCTTTATTAACTCTGCTGCTTCCCTTGCCTTTGTTGCTGGGTGCCATTTCATCTCCATGTTTCCCTTCACACCAATTGCAAGCTTGTGCTGTGGCATCMAGTGCTTGTCAGCACAAGCCTTGGGACCTTTGTACACAAGCATCCAGGCTTGATGCCATGCCTTTTTTGTTTTTGCTCTCCTTCTGTTTAATTTAACCCTTTGCTTTGGATGACAACTAAACAAGATTGCTCTGGTGTGTTGTGGGGGAACAGAGTCTGGGGAGCTCTCAGGGTAGCGTTGATATACATCCTTATGGAGGTCTTTGACAAGGAAATCTGGTGTTTTTAGTATATGTCATTGCTGCTTGTTTTGCTGCTGCTGCTTGTTTCTTGCATTATCCTCCATTTTTACCTGGGGTTGTCTGCCCCACAGGATGTATTGTTCTCAATTGATTTGAGGAGAAAGTAATGGGATCTGTGCATCATGTTAATAAATAGCATGGAGAAATGTTTCGGACACAGTTTGTTCTGATAAACCAGAAAAAGAACAAATGTATCAAGGAGATGTCTTGCCAAACTATGAGTTAATACAATTAGTGGCCTAAGTTTGTGAGCTAAAAATAGCAGTTCATGTGCAAAGTGTCCATTGTGGGACTGGAATGCATTGAGTCTAACTAGTCATTACAGAGTAAAAAGATAGCCCAAAAATGACACATAGTAGAAAAACACGTAGAATGTTAACTAGGGGTCAACTCACTGTAACAGATGTATCTTGTTCCTTCTTAACAGACACTGAACAGTGGTAAGTACACCATTGTGATCCTAATAAAGAGAGGAAGATGGTCATGTGGGGGAGTTGGGGGGCATTGGGATATCAAAGGATATGCATACGTGTACGTATATCAAGCATTATAAATGTACGATTAAATTGGCTATTTTTGAATTGCCACAGTTAGTATGATATGAAATTATGTTTTGAGTGTGCCAGTTTTTTGTTAGGATTCTAACAAATATGCCAATATTTTTGTCAGTAGCAAATGGATTTTTGGTGTTCCCGTTTACTACCTCTGAGGAAAGTTTAAAGATGAATATGAAGTACTACTACATCAAGAAGAACAAGAAGTTTCTGGTTACACMAGCAACTTCAATGCTTAAGATCCCAATGAAATACTGATCTAGTTTGAAGGTTTAGGCATTAATCTAATCCTAATTTTGACCAAGTTATTACAATTCCAAGGTGAATTATTTCACTGCTGAGCAAAATCTGACAAAGGACAGACCATTTTTACTCTCAGTGCTAGTAGTAGCTGCTATTAGTACTGTGGTATTGTATAGGCTTGGCCAGCTAATGTACGGTCCCAGTTGTACATTTTGGGCCATCTTTTTCCCGTGTAAAAATCTTGTCGGAACACACATAGAAATCGACGTGCTCAGTACGTAATCAAATTTTTGAATCCCACCAAAATAGTTTTGCTCGCACATGCAGACACGTGCAAAATAGTTTCGCTCGCACATGCACGATGTAGCCCTTGTACAAGTCAAATTTTAATCCCACGAGTCATTACACGGTAATTAGATGGCCCAAAATCCACGCACAGTACAAAAAACACGTAGGGCATTAAGAGAGGTTCAACTCACTGAAACAGCCATAACTTTTTCCCCAACGGACGCTTAAGTATGATAAGCACACGGTTAAAACGAGAATTCAAAGAGCTTTCTAATGGCGTGGGGGAGTACGGCGTACGACGAATATTCACTGATATACGTTTACATATATATTGAATTGCTAATGTACGACTGGTGTGTCTTTTTTGCTTGGCCCACGCTATACAATAAATAGGAGTGAAATTGAAAATCCATTTGCTACTGAAAATATTGACATATTCAGAATCCTCTTGAAAAATTGGTGATAGATAGCACTACAGTGAAAAATTATTAATAGTGTTTTTAATAGAGCTACTATGACTACTTCTTGTTACAAGAAGCTGGATTGTTTGACAGTGTTATGTAGTAAAAATGGAGATCAAAAAAAGATAAATGGCAGAATTTTTTTAGTGGTGCTGAGGATGGAATACTAGTATGAGTTCTTCAAAATCTTCTGGAAAACAACACATGTCTCTACAGGCATTGTGTATCCCCTCTAAAATTTATCCTGAGTTAGTATGATACTACAGGTTGACTGCATTGACTATACCAGTAAAAGAGGGGATGTTTTGTTTACAGTTCATGTTACTGGCAGTACAGGGGTAGTAATTGGCGGTGCCATGTGAATGCCATGTTCCCACAATAGAACAACAATATGCACAATACATCCATTTTTTCCTTGGTTCAGGCTTACCAGTGGTAGGGATGTTGTGGGGTAGACGATTGTTGACAGTTTCTTTCTTAGTACCACCACCAGCACTCTCATGGGCATGTGGTAAGAATGGGAAGAATTATTTACTAGCTTCTTGCTGGAGCACTAGAGATCATAGTATTTGGTCAGGAGCAAAGGGGGTTGAGCAAAATGTGGTTTTAAAGAAAAAAATGCTTGTAGGAAAGACATGATGGTACCACATCATTGACTTTTGAAAAGGAATGCTACCAGATGCCACCCAACTAAAAAC